TAGTAAATATATAGCTAAAATTAATATTCAAAATTTTATTAAAAAGTTTAAAAATTAAAAAAATTAGTAAAAATCTTCGCAGACAAATTTGCCTGTGTTACAATTTAAGGGATAATGCTAGGCTATACACTTGCATAGTAGCACTATATGATGGCGTTTTTTGATTGACTTTACATAGTGAGGAATAAACATGATACGCATATTATCAATTTTTTAGTTATCAATTGGATAGCTTTGAGCAGCTGGTTCTTAATATTGAGAAGTCATATTGACTTACTGTTTTTTGAATTTAAAAGCTTAAAATATAAGGATTATTGTCAATAATTGTAAAGGGGTATTATTTATAAAAATCATAATATATACTATTTTAAATGAAATGTATCACATTGGTGTATTATGCTTAATGAAATGGCCAATATTTTACTAAAACCAAAATTTGAATATTTATTTTCCCCTGCTATTATAAATTTTTATATGATATTATTCTATAATAGTTGTGAATTAAGTTGTGTTGCCTAGCATATATGCAAAATTTTGGCTATAACAGATTTATAATCTAATTGGTTCATTATGGACCAATGAGATTTCAAATTTTATTGCTAGGAAATGATTGGTTGCATGTGTAAATATTGCTAAGATTAGTAAAGCAGGGATAGAATATAATTGGTATGATCAATGTATAACAATAATGTTGTGTAATTCAATTGCTATATAGAACAATAGAGTCTATTGTGATAGACTAGTAATGTAATATAAAGTTTATTTTGATAATGTAAGTAAAGTAAATAAATCTTGATTTTACAGATCGAATCTTGAATTTTGATTCTTCTCTTTTGAATTGATCTGAACTAAAATAATAGAATAACATACCTTGAGTGTTGAAATTGTGAAAGTAAGTAGAAAATAAGCCCTAACTAGATTTTGTATATAATATGCATTCATTTAACTACATCAATAACTGATAATTACTGTAATTTGTATATATGTATGTAATTTAAAGTCTATAACATTAAAGATCAAGTTTGGAGACTTGTTTGTATATATATCATAATAGGTAATATGAACTAGTCACAGCAAAAAAATGTGATCCAAACTATGAGATCTGGGATCTTAATATGTATTAATTAACAAAGAGAAGGCATTTAATTAAATGCTAATTTGAGTTTGGCTCGAGGCGAAGCTCTATTGAAAAATAATAGTATGATCGCTCTGATATTCAAATCATGAGAACTAAAGTCATAGTCATGCAAATGGTTATAAATTACTCAACATTAGTTATATAAATAAAAATTCATTAATATTTTTGTATAAAGTTGTTAACAAACAATAACATATATACTAATTATATCACATTATCTTAATAAAATATTTTTGTATAGTAAAACAAAAAAAAAAATCTATACTTTTAATACATATAGCTTTTTTGTTTTAAAAAAAAAAATTAAAAAAAACTTTTAAAAACTTTCTTAAAAGTTATCACTTTTTGGAAATGTCAGCTACCGGAATTAGCAGAGTACTTGCTCTTGGTGCTAAGCGTAAACGTGCAGCAATATCAGGCTTAACAAAACATGAAAGCTTTCAGGACCCAATCCTCCAAAGCAAAAAGAATTAGCATCCGAGTATAACATATCTGAGCAAGTAGTTTCAGATAATTGGTGGGATCGAAATAAGTGGCTTCAACTTGAGGTTGATAGTTATGATGCACAACTAAAAAAAGAATGTTCACCTGGGTTTTCAATGATTGAAGAGGTTTTAGAAAAGTAGTTGCAATATGCATTTGCAAGACAAATGATATTAACAGATAAGGTTCTCATGGAAAAGGCAAAAAGTATTGCTTCTAATATTGGAGAACAACAATTTTGTAGTTCAAGTGGATAGTTATCACGATTCAAAGCCTGGCATAGAATAAAAATGCATGTAAGAGTTGGTGAAAATGGTAGTGTACTACTAGAAGCTAAAATTAATGCAGAATGCAAAAGGCTGCAAGCTATTATTACACAATATCTGTTAGATGATGTTTGAAATGCTGATAAGACAGGTATTTTTTGGAAGCAGAAACCAAAAAGAACTCTTGCTACCAACCCGCAAAAAGGCCATAAAATTGCTAAAGAGTGTGTTATATGTCTCATTGCTTGTAATACAACGAGTAATCAAAAATTAAAATTAGCATTTATTCATAAATATAAAACATCTCGTTCTCTTCGTAATATTAATTATAATAGGCTTCCAGTTTCTTATTTTTGGAATAAAACTTGTTGGATGCAGGTATGATAATATTTAATATGAATTCTAATTGTGCCTAGTAATACTCTTACTTTAGCAAATATAATCTTACTGGATACGAATAAAAATTTTCTAATTGTACCTAGTGAGATTATATTATTAGGCTTAATTAGAAACTAGTATTTTAATTTGAATTGTATATGCTGAGTTGATAATAAAATTAATTTAAATTATATAGATTTCAATTTGAACAAGAATATTAAAAGATTGGGATACAAGTCTTAGTAAATTTGACAAGAATATTCTTCTTCTTATTGACGGTGCACCTGTACACCGTCTTGAGAAAAAATATTAAACTTAATCATATTTGTATTAAATTTTTGCTAGCTCATTCCACTACTCATATTCAACCTTGTAACTAAGAGATAATTCATTCGTTTAAATGTTTTTATAAAAAAAGCTTTATTACTAATAGGATTGAAGTACAGTAAAACCTCCATAAGTGCACCCCCTCGGGACCATAGTAAAAAAAAAAGCAAAATGTGCACTTAAAGAGGGTGTGCATTTATAGAGAACAAAATATATAGTGCTCTTATAAGTTGG